TTATTTACTATAATTAACTCCCTGGTGTTCTCTAAAATGTTCTACTGTTCTACTGTTTGGGCTGGCACCAGCAAGTCAAACATATCCAAACTGCAACTGGTGCAAAATTTCGCGGCAAGGATACTCTCTGGTAAACGGAAATATGACCATATTGGCCCCACACTCAAAGAACTTAAACTGCTTCCAGTGTCGCAGTTATTAATACTCAGAGACTCTTTGATGATGTACAAAATAATGCATAACCAGGCCCCTGATTATCTCACTAAATTATTTAATGTTAGATCCAGTATCCACAATTACAACACCCGAAATAAATGTAACCTTAACATTCCTAAGTGTAGGACCACAATTGTACAGAATAACTCTATTGTGTATCAAGGCACCAAAGCGTGGAATAATATATCCACTGATATAAAATCTCTTTCAACTTTATATAGATTTAAGAAAAGCCTTAAGGCTGACTTTTTAAAAGAATAACTTGGAGCAATTTATAGTATTTTAGGTATATTTAACTAGTTTATTTTATATACAGCCTTTTGCAAAAATTATGAGAATTGCCTAAATATCTAAATATCATAATATCTATATCCATATATTGTCTGGAACACGAGGGTTTGCTAGAATAATTCATTGTTGACATCGAGAAAATGTTCAGAACTACGGATAAGTCTGTCGCCAAAAAAAACTAAACTACAAAGACAAGGGACTAAGGGCATCGCGCGGGATTACCCATCATGCACTCGATATTATGATATRTAGATATTTKYARAATTCTCATAATTTTTGCAAAAGGCTGTATATTTAATTGTATTATAGAATATCAATTTGTAATTGTAAGGTAAATCAACACAAACAAACATTCATATTCGATCTGTAATGTTTATCAGGTACGTGCTGGAGTATTGTCATCAGATGGTACAGTTAAGGACACAAGATTGCTAGCACACCACAGAGGAGCAGCACACAAGGTATATACAATATTCACATATATTATATAGTTATCATGACCTGCAATGAGCTATAATGACAAGCAAACAGGAACTATTGGTTGAAACTCATCACCAGTAGATGAGCTTGGCGTTGGTGCTTAGGTTGCAGGTGAGTAAAGCACAGCACAAACACCATGGCAAACATAATCCTCAGAACGGAACACAGGGGTTACCATGACAACCCTGCGGAACTGAACAGAATACACCCCGTGATACGGAATGGAATACAATGGTTACTATGGCTATCCTGTCTCACCCCATACACCAAGCACCGTCACACTGACAAGGCAGTTGAGTTTTCAGTGCCTATACTTACCAGGAGGAGAGAGGGAGGGCAAATGTCCAAATAGCGTGCAAAAAATTATGTGTAAAATGAGCGTTCAGGTAGCGATGACTAAATAGGATAATACAAAGGCGAGTACACCCCACTCATTATGCGGTGTCTTATTGAGTGACACATACTTGGTAAATCAGGTAAATCATTATTAACAGTGAAGTAGGGGCGCGAAACCGCGTTATGCATAATCTAGCAATTATTGAATTTCCTCTATAATTGTTTGTTTCATAACTGTCACCGTTCTTAAAAATATAGGTAATAGAGAGCTCTTGAACAGTCTAAAATTGATTGAAAAGTTCAAGATTTTGACATGTTATTTTTACAGACAGGTTAATGACTTTGGCAAACACGCTTTAAACAATCAATTGACATTAGTAACCCTAGTAACTCTAAGACATTGCAATCGAAAAATTATTGTAGATGAACGATCTGTCACTCACTCAGTCACTCTATCAC